GCATTCCTTGCCCAGGATGAAGCTGCTCGAATCAGTTTATGTTCTGAGCCTATCCCGTGCCAGGGCTCAAACCACACATGCCCCTCATGGGCCATGGGACCACCCTCCACCCCTATAATCCTACCCAAATGACTGGTAATATAACATAAACACTGAATCCCCATACAAACAAGATATTCAGTTATACACAAAACATAAGCCCAGTGGCTAGCTTGAATAAATTCAAATGCTTCCACTCAGGGATCTACTCCCTGCCCACCTGTGGAGGTTCCCATCAGGGTCTGTGGCTTTCTTCAGGGTAGTGCTCAACGACTGCCCTGGTGGCCTTGACAGGACCCTCTTACATACTACCAGTCTTGTACTGCCCACTCCCTGCAGCCCATCCAGAAAAGGCATGGTTCTCACTCTCCCCCAGGGATCTCCTTTCTTCTTTCTGGGACTGCCTCCCACCCATACCCACCATAAACACAGTCTTTCCAGCTTCCTCATTCTTAGGTCCCTACTTCTGTGGAGGATAGAGGCCAGTTCTCTGCTGGGGCTATATCCAACTCTGAAGTTCTATCGACCCCTGGGTGGCTGTATTACTGTCTGGTACTCTCCATATAGACCAGTCTCTCAGTCTGTTTTTACCCCCATGGGCCTGCCACACAACATTTGTCCATTCAGCCATTGCAAGTGTAGCATCCCTGTGGTGGGCAAATGTAACCATCTCCATAAAGCGCCTTTTCCCAGTTTTGTTCCATCAGACAGCTGCATACCTCACCACTCCTACTTTCTGAAACACCCGTCTGAACCTTCTGCAGTTGACCATGAAGTTGAGGTTCCTCACAAACACAGTGGACCCCAAGGGACCAGCCCTCCAGTTTGGTTCACCCCTGGGCCGGATATTGGGATCTTTCTTCCTGGCCGCAGCCAGTATTGTTGCCGTTCTCTCGTCTGGCTCATAGTTGCTGGTGGGGATGCCATCTGTCTTCCCCAGAGAACTTCTGCTTGGATCCACTGGTCCCCGTCATGGCCTGCAGGACCTTTTCTGCACACTGTAGCTTCCCCACTTCGTTGGCTGCCCAGTGAGGTTCTCTCCCTCTTTTTTACCCCTGGGATCCCTCTTAGGTTGTGGTCCTCTCCCCACTTTTTCTCCATGTTTCTTTCTGGGAACTGTGCGCTCTTAGCCATGGCTTCAGACAGCTTAATCTCTAGGCTGGTGAGCTTCTCCTTCTCTGCATGTGCCCACTGATTTTCCTTCAACTTGTTCTCCATCTCCTCCACCTGCTGTTCCAAGGCTTGTTTAGTCTTCTTCAGCTCATGCGCATTCTTGTCAGCCGCACCGCTGGAACCCCTTAGGTTCTCCATTTCAGTACGGAGTTGTGTACTGAGTTGTTCCAGTTTGGCCTTCCACTCCAGGACTTCTTCCAAAGCTTGAGCAAGTGCCTTAATCTCCTTCTCTCTAGCTTTGACCTCTGCTCAGTTTCACTCTTCTGCATATTGGGCAGAAAGATTCTTCTCTTCTGTCAGCATCTAAGCAAACTCTTTTTTTCCCCCCAAGTTGGAACCAATCCTGTGCTGTCTACATATGTCAACCATAAAATTCTCATGCTCCTGTTGCAGACTATTCTTTGTTTCTTCCAAGCTATCATTTTCTCCTCAAGACATTGGTTCAGAGCTTTGAAGTCTTTCTGCAGCTTCTTCCTGGCTTCCTCCACTGCCTCTAGGCAGTCCTGACCATCATCTGTCTTCTTCCTCAGGTCTGCTATCCACTTCTGGAGAGCCCGCAGCTTTGTTGGTCCCTTTCAGCTTCTGCCACAATTAGCTACTCAAACACTTCCTTTTCTGCTTCTGCAGCCAACAGGTGTCTCCACTCCTTATTCCTTCTCTCTCCATTCCCTGTGGTCATCTGCTGCCTTAAGGAAGCTACTGCAGACTCAGCCTGCTCGCAGCTTTGGTGTTCACCTTAGCTGTAACTGAAGGTGTGCTGCCTCCTTGGCCATCTCATCAGATAACAGCTGAGCATCTAGCTGAGCATATCTCAGCTCTTTTAGGGTACCAGGATTAGTACTTGCCTTTGCTCCCCCTTGATGCCCTTCACCTCCCATATTAGGGCAGAGGATACCTCTTGCCCCTTTAACAGGGCTTTTGTCTTTATGCTGAACAACCTGCGGTTGACTTCAAACTGCTTTAGGTCCCTTTAAATTGCTACAGTTCCCTTTCAAAGTGTGGGGTTCACTTCATAATGGTACAGTCTCCTTTAACTCCTGCACTGAGCTTTGTTGGTGCAGTTCCCTTTAGCTGCTGCAGGGCCCTTTAGATTCCTGTAGTGCCCTCTATATTGCCTGCATTCTCCACCATGTGTAGGGGGTTGCAGAATTGCTTGCTCAGACAAACAGTGTTTCAGTGTTTGTTTACAGTCTTTTGCCACTGTCTTTATTCTTCTGGGCCAAACCCCCTCCTGGCAGGAGTTAACATAACCAAATCCAGTCTGTAAATAAAACACTTAAAAAGCACAGCGTCTTCTCCCAGACCTAAAGAGAGTCCTTAGGCATGGTTTTGCTGCCACTTGCCTGCTCTCTCCCTTGCTCCTCCGGTCCTTTCAGCCACAGAAAAGGCTCGCTCACAGTCTCTCCGCTGCACTCATGGTCCTTTGAGAGAGAGACACTCCTGGTGTCCTTAAGCTCCACCATGAGCTGACCTGCTGGCTTTCTCCCTCTCAGCTCTCCTCTCTGCTTTTGCTTTCAGCTCTCAGCTTTCCTCTCTCTGGGCACACTCTCTCTCAGCCCTACCTCAACTCTCAACACCCAATATTTCTGTCACTCCGTAGCTCTCTTCCCTGGAAGCCTTTAGCATCCTGTGGCCAGCTAAATTATCTCCCTCAGCTGGCCCAGTCCTCCTAGGCAGCCTGTAATCACCCCTGACTGCCTGCAGATAGGCTGTAGCCCTGCAAGCCTGCAGACTGCCCCCAGGCTCATTGAGCTAACAGACTGCATCTAGGCCTGTTGAGCTAGTAGGCTGCTACACTGCTATATTACCCAATCAAGATATTAATTCAGTAAACATCCTCATTTGCAGGAGCCCTCTGTGATAAACTATGGGAGCAGAAAAGTGAATGTATTAACACGCAGGACATGTACATATAGGGCTAAATTGTCAAAACACCAGCAGGTTGATGTGAATGTACAAGTGAGGGGTTGCACTCGCCTCAATGCAGGCAGGTATGAGCTGCAAGTTATCTGCCCAGGGTCACCCTTGAGGTCTGTGGCAGAGAGGGAACTGAATTTGTGTCTCCCAAATCCCAGTGCCACAACCACTGGACCAACCTTCTTCTTGATAATCTAGACCAGTGGTTAGTTACTTTCACTGTTAAAAATCTGCATTTTATTCCCAGAACACAAGGGGCATAGATCCATGCCTCAAATCCAGAGACTTTCCTGTAGTTCCGGATTTGAATTCTTTAGGTCATGACTGTTTTTACAGTAGTTCTGAGGTGTGACTCATTAGTACTAGTAAAGCACTTTGAGATCCTTTAATGAAAAACACTGGGGAAAGGTAAAATGTTACCATTTTCCTGATTATTAGTGCAAAAGTGGCCTCCACCTCATTACTCCACTGTATTAGTCAATGGCATGTATACGTGTGCCTGACACCTGCCCCATCATGTGCTAATTAGCGCATGTTGGAGCAGACTAATTAGTATGTTCCAGCAGCTTTGGTATCACATGTATTCAGCATGTCCACCCTTCAAAATAATGGCTCTGGCACTTTAACTAAAGCTTGTTGAATGAGCTTTCGTTAAAGGTCTAGTGCCATAGCAAGGAAGTTTGGTGTCCAGGGCAAGCCCATAGCAACAGCCCACCCTTGCCCCGTGCACAGGTCCAGGGGACACATGCCCCTCCCCCCCACCCCCATGCTTGTTTGGGGGGTGCACACAGCAGGGGGAGCAGCTTCCCATGCCCTCTTTGGACAATCTGCTCATGGCTCCATCCGATGCTCAGTGCCTGCCCCAGTGCCAGGCCCCCTTCTACCCCCTTCTTTCTCACCAGGAGGCCTCAATCTACTCCCCACATGCCCCTTCCCCCCGCCTTCCCCCCACAACAGTCTCATCAGTGAGACACTGCTCTCCAAGCTGCTGGGCTGGCCGCATGCATGCTACAGCTGCACGCAGCATTTATCAGTGACATTATCAGCCAAAACTTTAAAAAGTATTTATAACAAAATATCAACTTGTAACTCGCCTGTTGTCACCCTTTTTCTTGGGCGCCCGAGGGGTTGCCCCACTCACCCCTCCCTTGCTATGGTACTGTAAAGCTCCCCCACTACCATTCTGAAGTGTGGGATGCTGAATACATGAGACGCCTCAAGCGCTTTCATTAGAGCGGCTCCTGAGCTCTAATTAAAGCATCCCCCTCCCCTCCACCCTCCCCAGAGCTCATGTAGGAACAGTCCAAGTGATTTATGCAGCAAGATGTTTGTGGAAGGAGTTTAAGATAAAAAAAGGAGCCCTGTGTCCATCTGCCACTGGAAATAAATAGGAAAAAGGCCAAGGAGGAAGGAAAGGGAACCTTCTGGGCTCCCTATGGCATGCACAATGCAACAGAAAAAGTCTCTCTCAAAGGATAAGCATGTTCCAGAAAAAAACTGAGTAGGGAAAATATAAATACAGTTGGCCAAATTCATCCCTAGGACCAACTCCTGTCCTATAAGCATGCCAAGCAAGGAGATGCAGAGCTGTTTCATAATGCCCATCACTTGCGCAAACTACTGAGATGAGCTACAGAGCTTCACAGTAAGCTGATACCTAGGCATGGGATCCCAGAGGCTTCCGTTCATGAAGTCCGGGTTTTTCAAAGGCAATCAAGCACTCCAATTCCACTGAAATTATATGGGCCGCTAACTTCCACACAACTTTTATTTAACCAGAATCAGAACACAGTGTTTGTTCACTGGCTTGAGAACTGCAGTATCCCATCGACTCCTCTCTTTAATATGTTCTGCCTTGTTCTTCTATTCAGGTCAAAAATTATGGAGGAGTCTTGACAGAGGTAGACTTCAGTAACTACAGTGCCCTGGTGAAGAATCCAGTCCATACAGTGTATCGAGGTAAAATCTCCAGACTCCCCTACTACAGTGCATCAAAGTCTACTTCACCTGATGACATGTTTTAACACCAATTAGAAACTGCAAATCTGATCTGTTTCACCAGTATAGGGGAAAAGTGAGTGCAGAAAATAACGCAGCATTGAACTATTTAACACTGTCTGTAGTAGCACAGATCTGTGCAGGGCAGCAGCACTGTTCCTGTTACCTTCCTGTTGCAAACTAGTGATTGTGGCATTATCTAACTGTGTCCCTGCTGTCTAACTGTTGCTCTGCTGAACTTGGCACTGCTGCAGAGAAACAACCCTGCTGTACTCAACCCCACTCTGTGTGCATTCAAGCCTGGCAATTAGACAACGCAGATGCTTTCAGATTTTGAGTGTGTGCATTCAATGGGCTTTCCTAAGACAGCCTGAGAGTGGGACTGGGGTGCATGTTTAGAGTCTCTGAGCCACCTGTCTTGCTGGGCCAACATGTAAGTCTGCTGGGCACACATGTAAGATTCATGTTGTCCTTGAAAGCAACTAGTGGTGTTTTGATCATATTGATGCAATATTCTAATGTGTGCAGCATTGTGTCACAGTACGTGAATTAGCACTGCTTGCAAGTAGCTCTCGCATGTGATCTGCAAAGAGAAAAACGTGGGCTTATACCCCCTTTAGTCTCTTTATAAAGGATACTGAGGGCCTGAAAGGTTTTAAGTTTTTGGTGGAGTTCTTTTGCTTTACACAGTCTTGGAGTCTGGTTCAAAACTTTTAAACTTACTGAATAGAAATCTTTTATCTGTCACTCAGTGATTTGTCCGCTTCCTCATAGTCAGTGATGTCATAACCCAAGGATGGCTGGTCTGCAGCACAGGTGCCACAAGTGGCATGGGCAGCCTCTGTGTGTGGCATGCAGCCAATTGGGGAAGGGACAAGCAGCACAAAGGCAGATAAGGCAGGGAGCAGAAAGCAGAGCATCAGATCAGAGAGGTAGCACAGGCGAGGAAACAGAAAGCAGAGCAACAACTTGGTCAGGGAGCACAGAGCAGAGAGCAGAAAGTGGAGCAGCAGATTGGGTAAGAAAAAGGGATTAGAGTGGCATTTGGGGTGTGGAGAGGTGTGAGGCTAATTTGTAGCACACCTACTGAAAAGGTTGGCCCCCACTACCCATTAGTTATTCGAACATCCATGTTTGAGATAAGATCTGAGTTTCTGCTATTAAACACAACAGCATTTCATAGAGGAGAAAAAACCTCATGGCTTAAGAGATTCTCTTACACTTTTCCTAGATTTTGTAAGATTTTTCTTCCTTTCCTTTGCCAGTAGTGCACTTGAAAGCATTCCAGACAGAACAGACCTGTACAGTCTTGACAAAGCAGTTATACTCTTCTCCTCTCACCCTGACAGGTCACCTCATTCTCAGCCCTCCACCTCCCCATGCAGGCCCTGCATTGATCGCAGCTCTGAATATCCTGGAAGGCTTAAATATCACAAGCCAGATATCCAGGGAAAATACCTTCCATTGGATAGCAGAGGTAAGCCAAAGACAGCTAGTTAGCCATACGTTGATATAAAAGGACTTTATTTGTTCATTGATTGTGCCAAAACTATTTATGACAAAACAGGTCACTAAGGTTTAAATCTGGGCTTTGACATTGTCTCAAAAATGTGCAGTAGTTGTAGGATATCCTGGGGTCTCTCTACTGTCTGAGTACTTGAACAATGCTCTCTCTTCTTAAATAATACCTGCATTGCCATGTATTTCCTGTATTTAATTGTGACAGAGTGAGAAGTCCACCCTGTCATGAGACCCTGAAAACACAAAGAACAAAAGAGTACTTACCATGCTGGTGGGCCCAGCCTGGGGAAAAGCCCTGCGCTGAGAGCCCTGGATGGTAATTAGCTCGATCAGCTGGGAGAGCTGGCTAGGCGGTGAATGGGACGCTGTGGCCAACCTCACAGCTAATCGGCATGGGGAATTAAAAAGGGAGCCAAACAGGCAGTCGGCATTGGCTGGGGAGAGGAGAGGACCCTGGAAGAAACCCAAGGGAATGCAGGGAGATGGCAGCGAAAGACCGACTAAGGGGACTTGGGAGAGAGAGTCCCGAAGACTGACTTACCTCGGAGGCTGGGAGATGAGGCGGCTGCAACATCCAAGCCAGTGAGTTCAAGTCCAGTGGGTGTGGGCAGCCGCTCCAGGGACCTGGAGGAAAGAAGAGGCGAGGCCAAGAGTTTGGGTGAGTTTGAGGCGTTGGCCTCCTGTGACTCCTCACTGAAGGATAAGGGCAAAGACGAACTGCAGGACGGTTGGCTTGGGACCCATGCAGGGAAGAACAGGGCAAGCAACTGAGAAAAAGAAACCGGCCACCTAGAGGCTGATCAAGGCAGTCTGGGGGCTGAGACTCCCACAAAGGAGAAATGATGCATGGGGATGGTGGAGCCCTGTGAAGCGGAGCCAGCCTTCTAAGTTATGGAATGAACATTAAACTTCTCATAGGACTGTTGTGACAGAACAGCCTTTGGGATGTCTGTCACTTCAAGGGCTGGAGCAGGGAGCTGCCAGGTGGCTAATGAGAATGGCCATTTTGGGAGAGCTCTGTTATAGGAGCAGAACATTTTGAGATCAGCCAGTGGGGAGTAACATTGCCCGGTGGAGCTCCTGCTCCAGGAATAACTCGGAGGTAAGGGTGTGGCTATGGAAAGGAGAAGGCCTCATTGGTCCTGGGCAACCTGCTGGGATAGGGAGGTCTGGTGGTCCTGCCTCTGGCAGGTCAGGGCCACTCAAATACCAGGACCGAGAACCTCCCCGGTGCAAGGTTTGGGTGGGTTACTAGAGCGTTGGGGGGGGGGGGGGGCAGGTAAACTTTTGGAGAAGTGCCTGAGTGCTATGGGGTGTTGGACCCTGGAGGTGGGCCAGGCATGCTGAATGAGCACCACCTGAACCCAAGGGAGGTAAGACCCTGGGCCGTGAGAGTTGCAGGGCAGAGTTATGGGGCCAGTTAAGCTCAGAGAGGAGTGGCTGAATCCTAATGGGTGGAAGACCCCTGGCCCTAATGTAAGGGGCAGAGTTGTGGCCCAAGAGAGGGGCATAGTGGTCCGGTGAGGGACCAAGGATGAAGTAGGCCCGTAGTTGACCAATCACTCAGTCCCGCTTGGGTGAGGGTCATGGGACAGGCCCAAAAGAACCAGGACTGACCGAGGGATGAAGAGAAAAGCCTGAGGATCTCCCAGGAGTAGGGCAGAGTGAGTGTGGCCTGAATAGGCAGTATGCAAGAGACCAGGTGGGAGCTGGTGGAGTGCAAGAGGTGAGAGAGGGTTGGTGTGTGTGTGTGGCCCCAAAGTGGGCAGTATGATAAAGATACAACTGTGTGCCCAGTTTGGCCCAGCCTTGAGCTGGAGTATCATCACACGGTGAGACATCAGCGAGGCATGGGACAAGTGTAGGGATGGTAGGAGTATGTACTGATCGCCTACGGTCATTTGGGTGCACGAAGGGCAGCCTCCCGCCTAGTTGACATCATAATCATTTATCAACAAGGCATGGCAAGCGAACAAGGCGGGTGGCTTGCCCAGAGACAAGGGCACGTTCATAATAGTACCAGGCCCGGAAGGTGACTTTATCACAACTGTATTCATCTTTGGTCCCTTCCTTTTCCATCTAAGTCGTGGCGGGTGAGTTCAAGGAGACTATCTGGTCCAGCATGAAAGAGTCAGCAGTTTTACTTTAGGAGGACACAGCTAATCTTCCACAGTAATCATCTCCACAGAATGATTCAGCAGCAGTGAAAGACAGCCCTATCCATTTCCTCATTGCTTAGATCCATCTAATATGCCACCCACTTACTTGACTGTCAGAAAGAACTTTTACAGCAAGGTGCTGACATAGCCTGTGGACATCTGTTTCCTATTTGTGACTGGGATTTGGAACAACTGAAGAAAGGACTGCCTCCACTGGGATGCTTCCCAGGTTTTACAATGAGCGTAACTGCCTGCTGGACAGGATTTTGGAGATTCCTCAGCTAGAGCATGGGTGGGCAATTATTTGGGCCTGGGGTATGGGCCTGGTTCGGGAGTGAGACAGCTGGGATCCTGCCCTTACTTGCCCATCCTGCTCCCCTTACAACTCACCAAAACTCCCTATGTGGAATGGGGCCATGGGTGGGTTGGGAGCATTGTTTGGGAGTGGGATGGGCAGGTGAGGCCAGGATCTCACCTGTCTCACTCATGGACTAGGCCCATCTTGTAGTTCCAGCTCCAGCCCCAGAAGCAGTTCCCTGCCCACCCAGCCGCATGCCCTACCCATGCAGCTCTTGGCCGGTCTCCATGAAGACCCCAAGATCGCGGGGCGGGGACAGCGTGGGGCCAGAGCTGGATGATCAGGGATCTGTGGGGCCAGGGCCCAGGGCAGAGCTGTGATCTGCTCCCTGCATGCCTCTTCCCTGTGGAGGGCGTGGGGAGGGAAAAGGGGGACTGCCTGGGCTCTAGGTGCTGGGAATTGCCTGGGAGTGAGGAGAGGGAGGCGGGGGGGTACACGTAGCAGACCTTGCCTGGATGTTGCGGCTTGTGGCTACCTCCGCAGCAGTCCTCAGGGGCTGAGCTCTGCCTATTCCTGCCAGGGGCAGCCTGCACCATGCTCCTGCCCAGGGTTGCCATCCCCGGACCTGGCCAGCATGCACACCTCATGGGAGGAGGAGCGGGGTTGCTCCCAGTGTGGCTGCAGCCACCCAGGTGCTGCTCAGCTCCCCTCACCTCCAGCAGCAGCTCCTCCTGCTCCTGCCTCTGCTGTACTGCTCTGGGTGGGGAGGAAGTTTCAGCTGGGTGACTCCTGCCCCACTGCATAGAGGCTCTGGCTCCAGCTCCTGGCTACCTTCTACTCTGCTGGGTCAGACCCTCAACTTTCATTTTTTTTAAAAGAATGTTTTAGTCTTTGTGATTATGGAGAAAAGCCTGGAAATATGACCCCAGTGCACCATGAAGGATCATTATGCAGATAATACACAACAATATTTATTATTATATATTATATATTATATTCATTTATTATTTTTTTAAATCTCATGAATTTTATGATAATCTCATGGTTTCTGCATGCTGGAGGTTGCATATTATACACCTATAGATAACTGCAGGTTCTTATATGTCCCTGTTACTGTGGGCACTGTTCTGTTGCTAGATAGCTAGCAGACTTTCAGCTGGGTTTTAACGATCAAGACTTTAATGCAAGTTATGTTGCTGAGTTATCGAGTTAAATTCTGTGTTGTGCTCTAAGGGACATAACCCAGAAATGTTTAGCTCAGAGCCCGCATCTTTAAACTGGGGCTTGTAGGGTGCATCTGTGTTGCCCCATGTTGTCTGTTCTGATGGAATTCTTCCGTGGCCACCCAAGGGGCTCTAACAGCCCCACTTACTGCAGCCAGAGTAATCCCTTCCGCAGCATTCTGACTAGTGGAAAATAGTTGTCCCACAAGTTAATAATCTTTTATTGCACATCAGAAGATAAATTATGACCCCTGAAGGGAAATCTGTGTGCACCACACATGACAAAAGTTAATATGAATCTGGGCTATAAATCAAAAGGTTTAAGTACTGACTTAAAACTACAATGATAGCCACACCAATTGGAAACTGAAATAGTCTAATAAATCATCTCAGTTCCATGGCAATATACTGAAAAGCACACTTGTTCTTGTAACTTTGCTTCTGGTGATCTATTATGAAGCTGTCCTGATCTTAAGAAGCTGTCAATCAAATCACAACAGTTTTGGAAGGGAACAGGATGTGCATATCCATGAGGTTTGGGCAGGGTTCCAATACTTCTCCCTGCTTCTACAGCTAATCAAAATCAGCTTCTCAATCTCAAACCGGTGGGCCAGCTCTTAGATCAGGGGTGGATAGGTGCTTCTGGGTGGTATGTCGTTTTTGTCCATGTTTTTGAAACACGATTCACCCTGGTAAGACTGTGTATACATGAGATGCCATATCTGCAGCACGCTTTAAAAATGCTGGCCCTTTAAATGTCCGGGGATTAACATTTTCCATTCATGCCATTTGGAAGAATTCTAATTAGAAACATGGAATTCAGGAGCTTTAGTTAGGGTGGTTAATGAGCATTTTGCTACAGGAATGCTGGTGGAACTATGTACTATAAGCATGTGCATATACAGCAGCAGTCCCCTGGGAATCCAGCATGATTTTTATCGTTGCAATGAATGCGTAGGAAAGTGGTAATTACTAACTGGCAATTAAATGGGAAGTAATAGTCTGATGGTTGTATTTTTAGAAGTATAGTAGCACACATCAGCTGAACAACAATGCACTTGCATGTTTCACGTCAGCCACTTGGTGTATGAATATTGCAGGGTACACTCTGCTCTCCTGTAATACTTCCTGTATAAACAAAGCTGGTATCCCTTGTTTGTCCTGTCCACACACTTTACTCCTCCTTACTGAGGTACTGTATATACAGAACCAAGTTTCCAGAAATGTTAGCTTTAAGAAGAGGTAGCTTATGTGGTAAGGATAGGTACCTTTCTCTGTCTGGACAGTGGAAGGTGAGATTTCTTGGGTCACATAAATATTGTTCTTTCTTTCTCTGTGTTCAATTTAGACATTAAAAATAGCACTGACTCTTGCTAGCAGCTTGGGAGACCCCTCCTATGACGCATCTGTAGAAGCATCTGTAGAAGACATGGTGAGGTAGGTCTGCATACCCCGAGTGCTTTGATGAAGAACTGAATTGAATCTTGCTAGTTTTACTGTCCTGTCTTAATCCTTCACATGGCACAAAAAGCCCCTATACTTTTTCTGTGTATCTTCTTCATTTGACTGATGAAAAGGCAATTTCCAACAGCCTCCCTATGGCACAAGCTGTGCTACATTCAGCAGTTAGCAGCATACCCATCTGAGCAAAACTAAATTTGGTCTAGAAAGATTGTGAGGCTTGCCAATGGGCTTTCCTTGGCTGGATTCTTCCTGTAACAGGCTTCCCACCCTTTTTTTGAAAAACCCTACTTAGAGGCTCCCATCTACAATGTGAGCCTGTCCAGTGTTCCCTGGCTGTTGTTCCTCCCTCAACACCCTGATCAGTGTTTTATGCCCTCATAGCACGTCTACCATGTGGCATGAGGGACCATGTTGGGGTTTCAAATTCAATCTCTCATACTGCAGATCAGGGTTTAGTTATTGGTAATGAAATAGTGCTGAATGTAGTTTGATTTTTTCCGGGCTCTGATTGACACTAGTTAGCTATACCAGAATCAGCACTAGTCAGCTGCAGCTGTTACTAATGCCTGTGTCAACAACTGGTAACTATGTTAATTTAGGCAAGGCCTTTTATATACTATATGTTCTTATATGCACTTTTTTCTAAAAACCAGCTGCTGGCTATTTAAGCGCACATTATATGTAAGAAATGGTAAGCATGGTTTCTGCTGGTCCCCATCAAAACTAAAAGTAAAATCTTCACATGATTTACAGGGAGCAGAACAAGGAGTAGGCTCCACTCCCTATCTCCTGCTACTCAGTTACTTACTACAAGGAAAGCTAGTTTTTTTTTCATTTTGCCTTCAAAAACAAGGTACATATTTTATTCCAGGGAATGCTGTATACAAGAAAATATGCTATGTGGAAGACCATGTCTCTATAGTCCCTTCTACACAGTAGAAGAGGCATGCTAAAGTCTAGTCCCTGCTGGAAAGTATTGCTACAGCCCTTTCCTGAGCAGTGGCAATGTACAGTAGTAGCATTGGGAACTGCATCTAAATCCTGTTGTGTAGACATAATATAACCCACTTAGTCAGACCTAAGGGCCCAGCCATGCTGTCAGTATGACTGGGTGTTTGCAATCAGTATAGGATCTGAATCCTATCACTGGGTCTTCCCCAAAAGGATGTCTGCATGCTGTGGGAATGCCAGGCTCACCTCTAGTCTGGAACGAACAATAAAGTTTTACTCGAACCTTCTCCCCAGAGCTGGATGCTCCTAGAATTTTTCTTCCAAAATTGCTCAGCTCACACCCTAGGTTCTGCTTTTCTCTCTAAAGAGTGCTTTTCCCATTTCATTTGTAGCTAGGTGGAGTGATGAGGATGGTAATGTCTGCCACGCTGAGCCAAAAAAAAAATACAAGTTAAACCTTTCCTGCCATGACCTGCTATGAGGGTGGGCTGTTTGAGGGACACAATACCAGCCTGCTATACTAATTACAAAAAACAAAGTTGAGTTGTGTTAATACAGCAGCTGTTTTTTCACACTGTCACTATATTTGGACACCTGTTCCAAGCACATCCATGACAGAGCCTTGAGCCAGCCCTCAGTGTCTTAGTATTTGGTAGTCTTACCGTATGATCCCTTTTTGTTTTGTAAAATGTTACTAATACTTTTCCTGACTGCTTCCATTGAACCTCTCTGAACTCCAGGTGTTCACTGCCTTCTCTCAGATATAATACCAGAAATCGCTCATTACCCTTCATTTCTAAAATCAGAGGAACTCTCCTGCCACAGTCCAGCCCCTCGCAGGCAAATGCAAGAGCCAGCAGTTAGTAGTGGCTAGTAGATTTATCCTATATAGGAGATGTTCTGCTTTTTATGCTCACTGGGGTTTTTTTCTCCCCACCATATCCTTTCTTATCACTGCAGCAAATCAAAGGCTGGTGTTCTGCGTCAGCTGATTAATGACTCTCAGTCCTTCCCTTCTGGTCTCCATATTCCACCGTTCTCCATGGAGAGTGGACCCTCTGCTAGCCAGGTCCTTGTTATGGGACCTGATGACTACATTGTTGCTGTTGTGAGGTAAAGGTTTTATTTTTCAGTGTGGATTGTTATAGAAAAGAGAGAGCAGAGAAAAAAAGTTAATTCAATGTGGGGGATGCAGGAATGAATTTAATAATGTTGGGATCCAGAGCCCATTATCTTTAACTCACTAATTTGGTTTAGATCACTCCTGGATGCAAGTCATTATCATCTGGTGGCTGTCCAGTTGCCCATGTGAAATACATTGGTGGTCCCAGTCTAGCCTCTGATGGAAGGATGTTCACAAATTTTTCCCTCTAGTTTCTGTTCTTGACAGAGTCCTAGGATTGACTAGGATATAGAGATTGAAATACCCCATCACCTCCAAGTCATTCCATCAGCACTTGGCAGGGCAGGGCAGAGTAGAAGAAGTTCACATCACTGCTACCCACACTGTACCTGTTCCACAAAGTACAGAAAGCTTCCTTCTCCAAGGTTATTAGAGGGCATCTTTCACCAACATTAAAAATCTACTCAAAATCCTTTACCAAACCAAGGTGAACAGAGGAATCTGGGCTAGGACTGTGACAATAGGAGGCCTGGAGTGACAGGAATCATTGGAAAGGCAGTTACAAGGTTTCTTCATATTTTTCAGTTCCCTGAACCGGCCATTTGGGAGTGGAATAATAACCCCCTCTGGAATTCTACTGAACAGTCAGATGTTGGACTTTTCCTGGCTGAATAAGACATCCAATCACTCCTCTCTCAGCCCGGTAATAAATTACCGAAAGAAGTCTTGGTCTGAATTCTTTTGGTTTTAACTACTTTAATTCTGAAATTACTTCCATAAGGAGGCTGTTTATGTCTTATGAATAACCCAAATTGAACGCCCTGATTGCTGCTTATCATTCCACGCCATGTACTATAGAAATAGGATATACAGTTGAGAAGGTTATTTGTATGTGTGATCTGTCCACATATAATTTGTTATCGTACTACAAGGAGACCCTAGAGTGTAGCATAGCCGCTCTGGGGAAAGTATGCTTTTCCTAGAGACTGGTCATAAACTGAATGACAATACTTGTCTGTTGAATGAAGTTAAAGTTTGTGTTTGCAAATTATTACTCTGTAGGATGAAATAGTGGCAGACAGTGGGAGAAAAAACCTGAAGTCTCAGACAGAGCCTTATTGGCCACTGCTGGTCATTTCTGTGCTAAATTGCATTTTTGCCACACATTTTTAAACAGTTGACACTGTCCACTCCAGAAGTAGCTGCATTGTATTAGTGAGTGCTGTAACTTCTGTATACAGTTTACAAAAGGTTTTGGATGCCTTGAAATGAAAGGTATTAGATAATGCCAAATACTGGGTGCATCTACATGTGCAATTAACGTGAAGCAATAAACTCTGGAGTGGTTTGAGGTGGAGTAAACTGCTCCCGGTTGCAACATCTACACATGTGCCTGGGATAGCAGCAATTTGAGCTGGGGTGGAGCAGGCCCCTGCCTGGCTGGGCTGACTGGGTGCAATTTATATCCATGGTTGGTGTTTTGGTGCAGTAAATTATTCACTGTAAGATAGTACTGCCCAGGACAGTACTATCTCACAGTGGAGTTATTTAGTTTATTGCGCTGTAATACTGGTGCAGGTGTAGACAGTGATGCTTTACTACAGAGCTAATTAATCCACTCCACAATAAAGCGCACGTGTAGATGCACCCACTATTACTATAGCAGTGTGAATAGCGTAATCATGAGCCAGCAATATTAGGATGCCTTACTCAAATTAAAAGAGAAGCAAGTTAACATGAGCAATTTAGGGCTCTGGCAAATCTTTGTTCTGAACTCTGTGATAGTTCAGGTGTGTATTTAATTCACCTGCAGAGGAATCTCATTCAGCCGGGGAAAAGACCTCTATCCTTCTTACTGCCCACTGTTGTTCGACCAGCAGAAGGGATGTGTGGGACGTATCTCTGCGTGGGAGCTAACAATGGAGACAAAGCCTTGAGCAGCATCACTCAGGTCCGTTTTGAGCACTACTTTTCAGCACGTTTTGAACCACTTGGCACTAGGAATGACTAAACTAGCCTTCCCTTGTGTCTCCATGCTGGTTTTTATATTCACTTTCCTGGAGGTTTCTTATACCAACATGCCTCATTGCAGAAGAAATGTGAAATAAGTGGTTCCTGGTTTGGGGATGAAGGATTAAAAATACCTAATTGTGCCACAGCCCACAGAGAACGAAGTCCTCCAGTAAAACATAGGCAGTGGTGTAAGGTAGAAGGTGAGTTTCACCTCAAATGACAGCCCTAGTTGAGTTGTGTTTGAGCTGAATGAGCAGGTCTGTTAAACTAAAGGAAGCAGCAGGCTCATAAACCTCAGATGATCTAGCCACTGGAAGGCAATAAAAACCTGCATTGTATTAATACAAGTACATAAAACTTCCCTGCCTTGTTGTGTGCCTTACAATGTGACTTGGAAGACCAGTTCCTAGGGTAGATAAGAAATCTGTTTCCCCCATTCTATCCTCATCCTCAATCCTTAGCCTTTCTGCTCTAGCTGCCAACAAAAATGCCAACCAGTGTCATCAGCACAGTAAAAACTTTCATGTGCTGCCAGACAGGCTGGATCCAATCTGTGGTCCAGAGGTTATCAGATCAGTCTCCTGAACCACCCAGTCCTATACAACTGGATATATAAGTTAAAGATATATTTGCTGCAGTTTCTCCATTCTGTTAACCTCACATACTCTGGCAGTGCCTATAAATGTGGGGAGGCAGAAACTTAGCAAACCTCATAAATCTTTTGTGCCCTTCCACAGTGTATTCATAGCTCATCTGCTTAAAGACCGTGAGAAAAATAGAACCTTTGTATTCTGAGGACTGTGGGAACACTGAAGCTGAATGTTGAGTGTTATACCTAACAGTACATTTTAGCACAGGGGTGCCCAACCTTTAGCCCATGGACCAAATGTGGCTCACAGAGCCATCGTATCTGGCCTGCAGGGCTCCCAATAGGCCTGGAAATTTGGTGGCAGGGGAGCAGTGGCCATTTAAGATGGCTATCCTCCCCACCCCACCAAATTCCCAAACCTTAAACCTCACATGGCCAGTCGGAACCAGGCATGCCGTGCCCTCTTCCTCTCTCCTCCCCCTCATGAGGCTGGGTTGGGGCCAAGTTGCACCCCCTCCCTCCCGATTCTGGTTCATGGTGGGGCCATGCCTTCTCCTCTGGGGTGGGTTGGGGCTGGGCCATTCCCCCTTCCCCCTTCCCCCCACAGGGCCAAGATGGGACCAGGCCATGTCCCCTTCCCCCCCACTTCTTCCTGCAGAACTGGGTCAAGCTCCTTTCCCCTGCAGGCAGTGGCAGATTTACCATGAAATAAACCGTGTGGTGGCACAGGGCCCCCAAAATGCAGGACAAATCTGACAAATGACTGAACTTAATAAGCGGTGCAAGTCGTGAAGCGGTTCCAGCTTTCTGCATTCTGTGAAATTCTTCTGCAAACTGCTCTAAATGTGGTTTTTTGAAGTAGTCTAGCAAAGGATTTGCTTTGCAATTTTTTCTCTGTCTCCAATGTCCTTTTTTTGGCTGGGTCCTGGGGTGGGGAATGAAGCTGTGCACAGGGCCCGACTAACTCTAAATCCAACACTGCCTGCAGGGCCACATTAAGGCCAGCCTGTCTCATGCCCCTTCCCCACATGGCTGGATGGTGCCCTCTGTGCGCACCAGATTGGGATCACTGGCCAGATCCAATCCATGGACGGACTAGGCACTGCCCATCTAGCTTGCTGGGGAAAAAGGTTGAGCATCATTGTTTTAACACATTCCTTTTTGAAATCCTCCACATGTGAGCTTTCTCAAATAGCGCCTTACAATTTATAATCTGTAATGAGATGGAGTCTTTGTCAATGGTGTGATTGTATATGCAGCAGGATAGGATTATTAAAAAGGGGCATAACTACATTTGGTTTTGAGTTACTTTACCTCACTGAAGGCATTAGTCAGAGGAAAATTAAAGGTGCCCAGTTGCCCCTATTGTTGCTTTATTTGATTTAATTGGAACTATAAAGACCCGTTTGATTCTGAAAATTGCTCCCTTATAGTTCTCTTTATAAAGAGCCTCTGAAAATATTCATGTAATGAGAAGTCAGTCATTCTTAACCTTTTTAGATTCAAGGCGTTATACTCAAGGCCTCCCTCTCAAAGTTTAGTTCTTTGCTTTTACTTGTTTGTTGATTAGGGAAAAGTAATAGAGCATTTGTTCTGTTGCAAAGAATTCAGAAACATCATAGGTCAGAATGTTTTTTACACTATAGATTCCTCTTTGAAATCTCTGGGTTTATCTGGAAAATCTCATGTAAATGTTTGTGCAGATAAAGGTGCTACCATTGTGTACCACCCCTTAGCACCCTTAAAAAGATCTCACAACACCCCAGGGTGCCACAGAACCCTTGCTGAGAATCACTACAATAAGTGCTCCTATCTGCAAGTGTAAAAATGAACAGTTACCCATTTTGTATGAACAAATGCAGATTGGTGTTTGCCTGTGTGAGGTATTACATTTGAAAATGTTAGTGTCACAAATGAGTAACTTGCTTTACAACTGTATTCCTTAGAGCTTTAACCAAGTTATTAATATCTGTGTCTCTCCTGGTGTAGGTTTTAGTGAATGTTTTAACATTTAACAAGAATTTGAGTGAGAGTTTGTCACTGGGTCGCTTGTACCCACAACTTCAGTCCAACATCTTGCAAGTTGACAGTAAGTATGGGGAACAGCATTTATGTTGGTTGACTCCATGTCTACTTTATCAAAAAAGAGAGAGCATTTTCAAGGGGGGATAGCAGGCTACTCTAGTCATCTCAGATATACCTCTTCATCCTCATCAGTTCTCCATTTTCACATGACCAAACTATAGGTCTTTCGTTTTTTTTCAGTCATGTCTCATAAACTATTGAGTCCTCAATAACTGTTCTTTTTTAGAAATATATCCAGTGTAGTGATAGCCTGCATCTGGGGGTTCCAAATGAATATGGCAAGACTTCGATTATGTCTTGAATCTGTCTGTTGTTTAAGGCAGCCTGTGCCGCCTTATTCTGCAGTGCTTCTCTTTCCTAGAACTAGTTATACGCTGTGCCCCTCCCCAGACACTTTCTCTTTCACTTTCCTTTCCCTGGCCCCTCTGTAACTCCACCCAGCTGGAAAACACACAACAGTATCTTTTTGATTCTAAAATGTCTCACTCCTTGTGCTAGCCTAAAAGCAGTGTGTTCATATCATACTTTTTACTGAGTTTCGTGTTGTTTTATTTTTTTTTCTTGAAACTGTACTCCTAAAAACATACTAATTACACAATAATATTAGTCCTTGTTAAAGAAAATGTTAGTCCTCAGGATTTAATACAAGGGTGAGCAAAACATGGCCTGTGGGCGGATCTGGCCCGCAGAGGGGCTTTGTCTGGCCTGCAGTGGGTCCCTTGGTCCTGCCTGGCCCAGGCACCATCCAACAATGGCGCATCCTGCTGCCTCTTGGGCACACAGTGGGACTGTGAAGGCTCTGTGGTGGGACTGCCTTTCTAGGCAGCTCAGGCAGTGGCACTTACTTTCAGCTGCCGCTGCTGCTGGCCCCAGCCTCATAGTACCGGTGGGGACCTGAGCACACAGCCCCGACCCAGCCTGTCCTGCACCTGTTCTGGACTTGCCCGCCTAGGTTGAGCAACAGCAGCAGCAGTGGCGGCCAGGCAGAAACATTTGCTCAGCATGTGGGAAAAGCGGCCCCTCCCTCTCGCTGCTGCCGGGTCTTTCCTGCTGCAGCTGCCCGGAGCCCGTGCTGGGCTGCTCTGCATCTGTTCTGCACTGCCACTGCTGCCCCACTGGGCTTCCTGGAGGTGGCAGTGACAGCAGCAGAGACACAGGGCAGCCTAGCCTGGGGTCCAAGCAGCTGCAGCAGGGGGGGCCCGGCAGTGGCAAGGGGGAGGGGCCACTTTTCCCCCATGCTGAGCAACAGTTTCTGCCCAGCTGACTGCTGCTGCTGCTCAGCTTGGGCAGGCGAGTCCAGAGCAGGCACAGGGTGGACTGAGGTGGGCTGGGTCGGGGCGGTGTGTGTGGGCCCCACCTGGTACCACAGGGCGGAGGCCAGTGGCAGTGGCAACCAGAAGGAGCCGTTGCCACCTGGGCTGCCTAGAAAGGCAGTCCAGCCACAGAGCCTCTCCAGCCCCACTCTGTGCCTAGGGGGCAACAGGAAGCAGCATGGGTGGGCGGTGCAGAGCAGACGTGGGGTGGACTGGGATCGGGGCTGTGCACATAGGTTCTGGCTGGTCTGCTCCTGCTGGGGTGAGTCTGGAGCAGGCATGGAGCAGGGCTAGGGCTGCACATTGTCGACAATGGTGGGGAGGCTCTGCAAGGTGTGCAGCCTCCAGGCTGTAGTGTGGTGGGAGCGGGTGCTGACTGGCTCAAGGTGGTACATATGGAGGAGGGAGCCTCCCATACACATCCCATCATACCCACAAACCCCACAACCACACCTTCCCCCACACACAATCACACACCCCACAAACATCACACCCAACCACATCCCCCCACAAATCCCACACCCCCTCACCCTTCCCCACATGTACCCCCAACACACACACAGCTGTGCACCTCCGGGGGTAGCCCCATTCCCTGCTATGTGCCTACACTCCACCACATACATGCACCCCATCCCCCACATACACACTCCCAGCCACCCGCACACCCCCTAACAAACCCCATACCCACCCCTTACCCCTGCAATATACAAGAATAAGACTTCATTTTGAGCTATTATGCAATCACCTCTATATACACGATGCAAATGCTCATAAATCAGAACAAAAATATTTTTTAATAAAATTTAAAATACATTATTATGGATGTTTGATTTATAGTATATATATATATATTTTTTTTTTTCTGGTTCCAAGATGGCAACCCCCTTTCCCAAAAGGAGTACTTCTGGCAAGAAGGGGAGAGACTTCCAGTGGCAAAAGTCAGGAGTTAGGGGGCAGGATTTCTGGTCCCAAGATGGTGACCGGGAGTGGGGCACTGGTCAAGGGGCGGGGCTACCCTTGTGACCCTCAACAGCTCACCAAAACTCATTAAGCGGCCTTCCAGCTGAAATAACTGCCTGCCTCAATTTAATAGAATAGCTTGAAAATGTAACCTGAAGGCTCAGAAACAAGAAGGCAAAATCCCCCCACATCTCATCACTTTTCACATCTTGAACAGTGATTTTTGGCACTCTTGGTTTTGATAATACTGTATACCTTTACCTGGAAAACTCTCACACTCGCTCTCACACTCGCATTGTAATTACCATAGCATTTTTCACTTCTCTGTTTAGTTTGTCATGTCATAGACCAGATTACAGCCCCCTTTTGTTCTTTGAGATACCTCTCTACTATTTGCACAAAAATAGTAAAACACATGAAAGGCCAAATGAAAAAAAAACCCACCAGGAGAAAGGAGAAAAACTGGCCAAGTTGATATCGAGAGGAAATGATGTTAAGTGAAAGGTGCAAAGATATTTTACTGTAACTTACAGCATCAGTAGTTTGAGCAAGTTGTTTTATTAATATTTGTCTGCCTTGACTATCAATACTGTGTGTGTGTCTATCTCTGCTCTACGAACAGATTAAATAAATAAATACCAATTATCCCTGCCTTTCCTTCACATCTTTAAATGATCTTTAAAAATCCCTCTTTTCCCTACCTCCCAACTCAATGCTGCTCCTTAAGTATGGGGCACTTACAGGCAATTTCATTGGTACAGCAGATGCCAAAAGATTTAAGGGAAAATTTTATAATGAATGAAAACATAGTTTCAATTAAAATAAGCGCTTCTTAAATCTTTACAGGTGAATTTCCTCAAGAAGATATTGAGTTCCTTGAAGCCAGGGGTCATCATGTAGATAAAGTCAAAGTAGTCTCTCTGGTTCATGGAGCCAGGAGAACCAACAATTTCATCATTGGAGTGAAAGACCCAAGAAGTGTGGATGCTGCAGGAGCCACGATATTATAGTGACTTCCAGATGGTGTGTTCATGAACACAGCTTTAAACAAACAAACAAATTATGTGCATGTTCTGAAATTACCCCTTTTTCTTCCCCCAGTGTGGAACAAGCAGTATTTTCTGTGAGTTTCTGCATTGCTGAAGAGACTGTCCTCGTTCCCCACCCCAAACAATGCAAGAGGCTGGTAAAGCCTCAAGAAAGCCCTTTGACATTTTTAACCAAACACTTTGAGTTGTAGTAACCTGGATGGCAGTCAAAGGAATGCAGGGAATATACATTTCTTTTGGCAGCGCCCTATTAATGATTTCAGCCATTTCAAATTCCAACCTTAAACATTTTAATTTAACTGGCAGAAATATTAGCAAAAGACATGATGAGACCAAAATATTTTGTGCCAAACAGATGGTTGCTGCTGATACATCAGTCTTCAGTATAGTACATCAGTCTTCAATGTATATAATACAAACTGATATACTGGTTTTAGGCAGTCATACCTGGATTTCCATAGGGATTTCTTTAATATTTCACATGGATCAGCTGATTTTTACCAGCATATGTATTCCTATATAGTTTCCATTCATGCTTTTCCCATATGATTCTTTTACCATAAATATTTGGAATTCATTTACTGAAAAGATTCCAAACTTTGTTGAGTTGGACTGCATTTTCACTGGCAGCATGGGGCTAGGTATTCACTACTGATGTCCCCACAACAGCTACATGAGGGGTAGTCACAGGGCAAATTGTTATGCAGAAAGAATTTGGGTACCTTCCGGTGTTTTTTTTTTTAATACTGCCTCATTAAAGCCTGCTCTGAAAACATTAAGGAATCCCATGCTTCCATGCACATCAGATTTCATAGAACTATTTCAAATTAGTGCTTTGATACTATTATGAGGGATATATTAGAAAAAACATGCAATATATAGAGAAGACTTAAAGCAAGAACAATTTAGATATTTTTAAAGTCCCAAATGTTCAATGCAGAATGAAGGAAGAATTCTGCATTTATCATGTCAAATAAAAATGGAAAAATAATAAAAAGCATGATCACGGCACAGTGTCATTCTGATCAGCATTTGTATATCTCCTTTTCTTTTCACCAGTAAATTATATAGAGAAATCCAGCACTTTACCATTTTAGAGGGTTATTTTAAATTATTTTTTCATTGTTACACAACCTAAATTGTATTGGTTTCTTTTCTGATGTTAATGTATCTATGAGCCACTGTACATATTATATATGTATGTCTGCTTATGATTGTCTTGGAATTTTATTTGATGCTTATGAAGAGAATTCCAGTTTTTGTCCTGTATGAGGGACCAAGGATCTGGAGTCTTGTGAATAGTGATGTGTTTCTAATGTACCTTTTATAGCTCAAATGCAACTTGACGTGGAAAGCATGTAGTATCCTCCTAAGGGGATCAATGAACTAACGCAGATTATCAAATGAATATTTTTTGCACTTATTTAGCATTTGTTAGCTGAGGATCTCAAAACATTTCACAAACTTTAACTATTGAATTCCAACATTGTACACTGAGATAGGGAATAGATATTACAGAATTCATTTTTATACACCACTATAAAGCAGCTACCTGTAAGGTGGCTTTGTAGCAGACATGAGACATTGGATATGTATTAGGTCTTAACTGACTCAGTAGCTCAGTTGTTATGCTTGTTCATCCAGGAAAAAAAGGAAGTGCTATAGTAGGGGCAGCATGTGTTTCTTGTGGAAGTCCACTTGGGGCAGAGATGCACTTTATGTCAAAGGGAAAATCCCTGGGGTGTGGGGAAAGAACATCCATTTTACTTCTTCTAATGCAACCATTAGTTTGGATTAATGCCAAAAGTTAGAACATGCTCATAAAACTATAGATGTTTTGGAGCAGACTTCTTAGGATGTACCAGGCAAGGTAGGGAGGCACTTTTGTGCACTGAACCTCACCACTTAAAATTTGGGATTTTTCTAGTATAAAAACAGCAATGTTTTGTCCTCCTGTGTATGGAGGTTTAGTGACCAACTGTGAAATAAACCTAGTGATTGTTTATAATCCCAAAGTGAGATTTCAGTGACATTTTTTTTCTCATGTTTTGAAGGTTAAGCATGTGTTTAAGTGCTCTCCTGGATCAAGGACTGTATTGGGAAAGAGAAAAAATGCAAAGAAACAGAGATGGCAGTTACATTAGGAATAACCTTTATCAGCTTTTGATCTTGAATGCCCAATCAATTAATTAATGGTTTCCTGAAGAGATTCAATACAGCTAATGAGAAATGTGTGAATGGCTTTAAATACAGCAGTTTGTTTGAAATCTTGCTTGTGTCAAGCACAGACTGTTCTGTTTAAAACTCTAAAGAAAATACAAAGGTGAATGACAGCAAGATAATTCTAGATTTGTAATAATGATTTTGTTTAATCCTGCATTCCCTCCTCTGTTCTGGGAGGCCTGTTTGCCTTCTTCCTTCCCACCATTACAAACAGTGAATGGATGCAATTATAATCTCACATTAGTATAAAATGTTAATAACTTCACTGTAATCAGTGACTTGTAGTAAATTGTAATAAATTTAAAGGAGACCAGACCACACTCAGTAGCTTTTCAATGTGGCTGCCAACACCTATTTAGTGAACTATGAATTGTTGGACTGACATGAAGAAATCAGAAGCAAGGCTCATTTTCTGTATTAAAGAATAAAGCTTTTAGTTACCTTCTTGGAAATGGGATTCTACAAATTTCTCATAGTTCATTTTAACAGAGATCCCCTGGAAAGACTTGATCCCAAGGATTACCTAGAACTGAAGAAAAATTATCAGCTCACCTTTCATCTGCATCAGTAATATGCAAATGTAACTCCATTAACTTCAGTAGAATTTACATTAATTTAAGAGGAGGAGGGTTGATTGAGTTTTTTAAGCATAACTATATAAAACTCATATCCCCATTATGGCTGATAAAATTATATCACAAAGCTGAAATGGTGAGGGCTTTTTTTTTTTTAAACACCATAGTAGGAGATGGTGTTGTAATGGGTAAATGTTTGCTTTATAAGAAAGTTCTTCCATACTTCAGCCAAGTGCTTTTGAAAGTTATAAGTTAGAAGAAAAAGAGAATCCTGGCAAGGAAGGACAATTTTCAGAAGGGTCAGCCATATTTAATGGTCCTTCAGAAAAAAAAGTAAGTCTGTATATGGAACAGATGAGATGGTTTCAATAGTTCTCCAACAATAACATGGCCAAAGAAGAGCCATCCAGTGTTCACAGCTTGTGAAAAGGAGATGATCCCCACAAGGGTGAACCTACTTGGGAGGGAAAAAGTTCCTGAAGGCGATAGCTTCTTGAGGGCAGTAGTTCTTCAAGTTAACTTGAAGAAAATATCGAACTAGCAACAATCCCTCAGCACAGCATACACCTCCCCTAAGAAGGGATCACATTCCCCCAGCTAAAAGAAAACTGGACAATCACTATATGTGTGATTTAAACCGTACCTACCATTCTGGTATCCAAACTCTTGTCCTCTCCTTCCTTACCACATTCCTTCTTTTATGAAATCCTAGAAAAAAGTATGAGAGGATTATAAGGAAAGATCATTAAAATCTCAACAAAATATGTCTTCCCCATTTCCTTCCCCACATATGATAAAGTGAACACGTAGAGAGTCTAGATTAGGAATCACTTAGTTCATTTTAAGAGGGGCAGGGAGAAATTAAGTTCTGATAATGGAATCCTTATATAATATTTAATTTTGGAAAATCTAAAATTGGTCATGTGTATGAGCGTAAAAGTACCACATTTGCTATATAGCATCATTTTTATTTGGAAATACAGACATAAGAAAATGCATTGTAATCATAACTGTGACTGTCTTGAAATCAATTATAGCTGTGCATTTTTTCACATAAAGTGAAAAAGACTGAAATACAGTTTTCTTTTTTCTATTACCAGCTTGTGAGGTACCAGTTTCATTCTTTACAGTATTTTTTTTTGACAGACTCCATTGTCTTGTTAAACATTATTCATATTACAGTAGTTTCTAGAAGTCCAAAACAAGACCAGAACCCAGTTGTACCTGAGCTGTAGGTACAGGCTGTATGAGACAATTCCTGTCTTAAAGACTTTATATTTAAGCACACTTTATAAAATGGGCCTTCAAGGAAGCCTCCGATCCAAACAACCCCAGTTCAGATGAAATTTAAATTCTCATTTTGTTGCTCAATTAAACCAAACAAGTTTGTTGGAAAGGTTAATGTATGTGCATTTCTCAGCCTCTCGTAACTTTTATATCTGTTGTACACTTGTTTTCATTGTACAAAAAGTTCATCAGCAGAAAATACCTTACTGAAGAGAGTGCTCTTAATTTTTTTCAAAAACATGTTTATTCTTTTCTTATAAATAGGTGAAAAAACCTTTTCTAGGACTATTCCTGATTTCCCCTTCCCACACAGGCTACACATTACTGGAGCTGTTCCGAAAAGTGTTGAGTCTGAATGTGATCTCATGTACACCTTGGGTGAAGCAGAAGAAACTTCACTGAAAGCATTGATCCAAACTGCTCAGTGGAGGAGCTTTAGGCCATTTTTGCACTTCTTTGTATTTGGCATCCATTTGACTCAAATTGGAACACTGACATTCTGCTATTGGAGGAAAGAACAGCAACATCCACTTGCTGCTTTTGCTGAGGTAATCCTCATTTGATAGGTTTACAGACATAAATGAGCTGTTTGTACTTTACCATGTTAAATATAGCTGGTCCAGGACAAGCGGTTCTATTTGTCCACACCAACCTTGTTGAACTATTTTGAGGAACCTTTCACTGCGGTCTCACAAGCATTAGTGCTACGTGTGCATCTGTCCACAATACCCAAGCCACTGTAGAGGTGGCCTGTCTGGGCACATTTAGACCAGGAACAGAGGGTTGTCATGCGTGAAGTGACTGAATGTCCCTTTTCTGCTCTTCACAATATTTCTTCCCTCCATTACACTATACTAGAATATGTCTCTCAGTCTCCTACAATGCTGTGGATTCCAGCTCTATATGACAGCTGCTGCTGCTGAACCACATTTGGTTCACTGGCTGCAAATATTGATCTCAACCCTTCTCCCTGCTACCCGCCAGGTCATCAGACAGATACTGGCAGCCAGAGATAATACTTGATTTGCCAACTGGAGATGCCCTCTAAAAGTCCTCCAGTATTAGAGATTTCCTAATTGTATCAGCCTTTTCAACTCTGATGTCCCTTCAGTTGTAAGTACTGGTGAGTACCTCCCTTCTCAACATGTCACAAATTGGAGCTTATCATTCCACCTACCATCAGACACAGGGCTGACTTGTCTATATATGGAAGGCTTTCAGACCCTCTCATGAAGTTAAAGCACCCACATGATTAAAGCAAATGTATCTAGTAAGGTCCTGCTAAGTATCATTCCTTTGGTTATGATCTCCAGCTGAAATATAAGGTATACTTATAAGCCTTTGTGCTGATCAAAACAAATGTTGAGCTTCAAAAAGATTTCAATTAAGACACAAGGATGACAGAACACAGTAGAAAACACAGAGAAGGCAGTATTTTTAGAGTTATTCTGATATAAGGCATTTAATTTCTAAACCACTGTTGTGGGGGACAGCCTTCCAAGGTGGGATGACTTTATGGGCTTGGTGGCGTAAATTAGGCTTTTAGGGGTTAGAATGTGAAGAGAAAGGGATGTAAGTGCATTGATTGGGAAGTGGTAGGGGCAGCATGGAAGAAAGCATAATAATAGGTGTGGTAGAAGAATTATCCTCAGACCCTAATACATGTTGTTTAAATTTCAGTTTTGCCGGATTTTCACAGTATTAAATTCAATTAATATTTAAACTATCTGGACAGGTAGGAAATGAAATAAACTAGAGCACAGGGAACTGCATTTCTTACAAAAAAGATTTCATGCAAACAAGTGCTCACTGGTTCAAAAATTAAAGACTAAAGCTTTCCTCCTTGTCTCAGTGTGTAAGTGACACTACCTCACTTCTGCTGAGATGTCAGAGGGACTGTGCATGGAAAGTAGCAGGGAAGAGAAGGCTTTCTTCATTCTTCAACAGGCTTAAAGGCAAAGGCTTGCACTTAAAATGATCATCATCCTAGAGGACGAGGAGGAAAGAAACAGGAACTAAAGGCATAACTGAATATATACAAACTTCAATGAAAGGCACCAAGACTGCAGTTCCATGAAGAACATACCTAAAGAAAGGGTGTTGATTTAGTTTATAAATATATCTTTGTGTTTTGGTTGTCTAATAGTTGAGTAATCTCCATACATACCCTATGTGAAATCATTCCTTCTAAAATTTCCTAGTCTAAACTGTTGGGATCACATGGCAGCAGTTTTGTAATTGGAGTTGGGACTTAGGCTCTAGCTATCTATGTACAAAGGCCTTCCCTAAAAAGGATTTTACATACAGTATATGTATATAGCAATTTAATTAAAGTTGACATTGGTTGATAAGTGGTGTATTTTTTTCACATCTATATACAAATGATCAGACTGTCTGGTAATTATTAGATTTATTTGTTATTTACTTTGTGCAGTAAGTTGCAGAAAGCCAGTTTCACTGCTTTCCTAGACCTGTTATCTAAGATTTACCCTGCT